TGAAAAAAAATGGTTTCAACTTTCTTTCAAGATAATCCATCAAACAAAACATTTCCCGTGCCACAACACATTACAATACAACACAACACATTACAATACAACACAACACGATACAATACAATACAACACATTACAATAAATTACAATACAATATACAATACAACACATTACAATACAATATAGTAGAATACAATACAATAAATTACAATACAATACGACACAATACCACGAAATACAATACAAAACATTACAATACAATACAAAAACAACTTCCACCTTTAACTTTCCAAGAATGGTTTTCTTGGTAAGCTGGATGAGTTCGGCGTCATCAACAGCAAAAGCTGGATAGCTGATGATACTCAATAAGCCCGCATCTGTTTCCTGTGTGCGTGCGTGTGTATGTGTACGTGTGTGTGTGTGTCTGTGTGTGTGTACGTGTGGAAACAACGCATGCAAGAGGTTGCCACTGTTTCAAAATTATTTTAAAAAAAATATAAAAAAAAAAAGAAAATAAAACTGAGAAATAATAAAAAAATGTTTCTACTTTGGAGTTAGATTCCCTAGGCAGAACTGAGTGGAGGATCGTCTGTTGAATCAAATAAGCTTCAATCAAATCAAAACGTGAAGTGAAAACTTTAAAATGAATAAAGCGATAGTGATATATAAGATTATGACTGGAATGATGTAACATCACACCCCAGCATGATGGCGATTAATTCCGAAACTAAATAACAACCCATCAGTCGACCAATGACAGGATTATGGACCGACGCTACATCCAATCGAACACCGCATAAATTCAAATCAACCAATGACAAAAGAGAACAGACCAAACACTGCTGTGATTCGTCGGGCATGACGTTAATGACAGACGAAGGACCGCCCTTCGACCCATAAAGGTCCAATCCATTCAGGGCTTCGAGAGCAGCCTGTTATTCATTCATAGTCTTCAACTGCCAATCACACCATCAGCCACATGCCACTCATCACACCATCAGCCACATGCCATTGTATGTTAATATTATGAATAATCCCTTGTAATGCTAGCAAACCATTGTAATAGAAAATTAATACCGTTCAACTATAAAAAAAAAATTTAATACACACAAACGCGTATTTATACACAAACATACATAGGTATACGCACATATAAACACGTATACATACGTACACACACGTACATACACACACACACACGTACACACCCTGGCCATGCCTATAGAGGTTGCATTCAATTCAGGAACACCGTGGTTTGTCTTGTCACCGCGCTCCCAGATCCCAAAATCCTTATGGTAGAACGGAAATGATGTTGATGATGATGATGATAATGATGACGTTGACGATGATGATGATAATGATGACGTTGATGATGATGGTGATAATGGTGAAGATGATGGCAATGATGACGCTGATGATGATGATGTTGATAATACCGATGATGTTGATGATGATGATAGTACGGGAATGATGATGATTGTGGTGGTGATGATGATAGCAATAAAATTATTATTATCGTGTCGAGTCGATTAATAGAATGATAAAACTTGTAATGATGATAAACCTGTCAATCATTAAGTTTAATAAAGTCATTAACACCATCAGTCACGATAATTATTATCATTTTGTTATTAAAACAGGAACGAACGAACGAACGAACAGACAAACAAACTAACCAACCAATAAACAAACGAACAAACAAACAAACTAACTAATTAACCCATAAACAAACGAACAAACGAACGAACAAACGAACGAACGAACGAACGAACGAACAAACTAACTAATTAACCCATAAACAAACGAACAAAAGAACGAACGAACGAACAAACACGAAACATACAGGTGTCCTGAATGCAGACTGTATATAGAAGATGAGATTCTGAACGAAGGCAACTTCATCCAATGAAACCACTATTTGAAGTCCTGGGTGTTACATTAATGTAAGCTGTATGTTAAGTTGGTGTCATCTGCATGTTTTGTTGACGTCATCAGTGTGTGTCACACGTGATATTGATGTCATCCGGATTACAAATTCCGCAAAGAAAAAAAAAAACTAAACCTGAAGCTGTCATCTGAGCAAGTTGCAGTAGAAACAGCGAAGTGGCGTCCAACTGAAGATGCCCCCACTGCCAATCTTCTGTGCACTTCAGCCCGGTACTCACGAAATACTTAGCATGCAGCGCATCCTTCGGACTTTGGGTGTACTTGAACTTTTCCACCTTCTCCACTTGCCTCATCATAGCTTTCAATATCCCTCGCATCATTTTCACCACAGCCTTTGGAAGAAAAAACGGCGGTGTAATGGTTAAGGTGCTTGGCACTGCTTTTGTGATGACTGGGTTCAAATGCAAGTAGATCGCTGCATGTATTGTGTGTGTGTGTGTGGTGTGTTTTGGTGTGTATATGTGTGTGTGTTGTGTGTGTGTATGTGGTGTGTATATATGAGTGTATGTAAAAACAACTACCAAGACCTAAATTTAATTGAAGAAAAAAACAAAGTTAAATAAAATTCCTCGCCATCTCAAGCTCGTAAGCTTTAGCTCGATCCTCATCAATGTCAGCTTTCTTTCTGTAGGATAGAGACAGAGCCCAGATACAAAGAGCTGAGTAGACATTATCCCTGACCCAGGCATGGTCACAGGTTGGAGAAGCCGGCAGTAATCCACTAACTGGGTGCTGGAGAGGTCATTAAAAGAAATATGTATAAAACACAAATGTCTATTCTTCATTCATTCACTTACTTCTTTAAATATATAAATGTATGATATCAAATACAACAATAATATTCCTTTATTCACTGGCTACCTTACCAAATGTGAATGCAAATGTATGGTGTAACGAATAGACAGGTAGAATAGCTATAGTTAAATTTTTAAGGTTGCTAGTGAATAATTGAAGATTATTATATCAATACATCAGAAAAGAAATGTTATACTGCAAAATGATTTTGAAAAAAAAAAGAAAAAAGGAATAGTCATCATCATTGAAATAATTTTGAAATGTAGGTATGCTAGATAGAAGCAACTCAACTCAAAGTTTAAGTTTCAAACTATTTTAAATAAAACAGTACCACTAATTAAATTAACAATTTATTTAACTACTAATTTGTATCTTTGACAGTAGATAATTTACCTGGTGTGTTAGAATGGTCTTGTGCACCATGCGATGGTAAAAATCTAGACGGACTCCGGAATTACTACGACTCCGCATTGCGAGGAACAATAGACAATGAAAAATGCAATTCAATTAATTATGAAAATAACTAATAAAAAATATTATTAAAATGAAATTAATTGTTAGGAAGTTAAAATTTGTTAGAGGCTTAGAAGAGAGACTAATACACTACTATAGATAGACTTATAGACTATAAAAATAAAATGAATAAAACTGTATTTCTACAAAAAAAAATATAGATATATAACTAATCAATCAATCTTGTTAACTGAACAGTGAACAACACAGTAAAAAAAATTTTAAAAATAAATAAAATTCAGTGACACAAGATGAGCTTCAAACAAAAGCAATAGCAACCGAAAGACGCTTTGTTTTTAATTTATAATTTTAACTGAACTATTCCCTAGTAACGAAATAATGACTCAAATGAGGTGCAAAGTTAACTAATTAGCTCTTCATTTAAATTATCTCTCGGGCGAAGGTTTTCTGTATAAAAAGTGCCTTACTAAAAGTGGATTAGATGTTAACACAGCTGTTCAACAAACAAGTTTAAAATAATGTTAATTGTTCACTTTAATTTTTTAATTTTGATTATAAAATTTTACAAAACAAATTTAAATTTATAAACATTTATTTTGATGGATTAATTTTTAAAATTAAAAATTTATAAATTTAAAAACAGTTAACTAGTTCTATTCAAATTTAACAAAGAAAGCTTTTCTTGTAATTGCAATATTGAATTGCAAATATCGTGTTCGACTGTTTTTAGAAAATCTATCAAAACATTAAAAAAATATTAAGGGCAATTCAAGGTTGAAAAATTTTTTATTCAAATTCGAAAGAGCAAGGCTAGTGAAAAAACATTTATATGAAAATTAAATGAAATCACTATGAAAAAATGACAAAATGACGTCATATAAACTTAAGTTCACTTTTAGTTGAAGTCTTCCACCGTTTTAATTCTTTAAATTTTTAAACTTCGAACTATTTGTTTAAGCAGCTTGCAAATCGAACTCCAAGCTCAAAAATTCGAAGCAACATTCTCGTAAAATGCAAAAATTATCCCAGGAATTGTTAACATTTATGAGATGCACAGTTATTATTACTGATTTCCACAAGGTCGTATTCGAGTTAGTGCTCAACAGTTTGGACGCAAAGGCAACATGTATCGATATTTCAGTTAGTTTTAATAACGGTGGTCGAATACATATTAGTGACAATGGAATCTCTATGGGGTATGAAGATATGTTAACAGTTGGACAAAGGTTAAAGTTAAACGTTATAAAAAGTTGAACTTTGAGTTATGCACTATTATTGATTATTCATTCAAATGCGGCCAATTGCAATTGCTCAATTTGTCACGCATTTTATTCGTTATTGCTTGTCCTCTTGCGCGTTTATTTACATTGTCCAGTTCAGTGCTACTGCTTAAAAATATGAGAATAGTTGCCAAAATAAAAATCTTGGCTGCAAAGTTGATAATGTCTAATACTGGCCCTGCTACCAAACTTATTAGTTTTTTTACTTTTAATTCAGTCTTTTCTCATTTCTTGAATATTTGAAATAAAAGACATTGTCACACCGTTTCTAGTAGTGACTAGAGCAAAGTGATGTGGCAATAAGCAAGCTTGTATTCATAGTCTATTTATGATATGCAACAATAAAATGTTGCCAGTTTGAAACATTTTGACTCTCCTTTAAATTTCATTAATGATTAGTTTATGAATGTTCAAAGCTGTTAAACAATGCGTTGTTTCATCAATGGAACTAAAATTGTTTCAACTAAAGGTATTTCACAAGCAAATGTCAATCAATAAACGATTTGAGTACCAACCAGTGTTTCGGCTATCACGGTGAATCTTTATCAAGCATCATAAATTTGTGTGAAAAACTAGAAATTAAGTGCACATCAGATGATCATATATTCTTGAAAGAGTTTCACAAAGGTGTTTTGGTAAAATTTGAGACACATCTCAATGAAAACAGTAAAACGCGCAAATTCAACACGGAGATTACAGTCACAAAAGTATTTTACAAAATGTCTGTAAGAATAAAAGAGTTGGATAAGTTGTCTGAATTTGAAATAATCAAACGATTTGTTATTTCAATTTCGCTTTTGAAACCATACATCTCAATATCTTTAAATGTCCTGGAAAATTCTTTTTTAACTTTCGAGTTGAAAAGTATGAAGTCGGTTTTGGATGTGGTGAACTATCTATCTGGCGATGTTAAGTCAGATAATATCGAAAAAGTAAAGTTAAAAATTTGTAATGGAAGACTGGATGGTTTTATATGGATCTCTGATTTACATGGTGTTAATATGAATTATTTGTATTTTAATAATAAACCAATTTCGTTGAATGATAAGTTCTATGAAATTCTCAGCAAAACATTTAAAAGGGTTAAAATATTTAGTAAGAAATCTGATTCAGAAATTTACGAAAAACAGTATGATCGAATAAAAAACATTCAAATATCATACGTTTTAAATTTCACAATCCGATGCAAAAAATTCGACAATCATCTCATATTCAGTGAACAATTTAACAGTTTCATTCCATATCTATCGAATTTATTCAGAAAATGTTTAAAAAATACATTCGCGGATATGAAATCAACGTTCCAATCGTCAGCATTGAATTCAATGAAAGAAGTGGCATACTCGCCATTTTCAGATATCTCGAATTTGAATCATGCGGCCGATAAGCTAATAGGAATGATTGAAACAAAATATGACGGCGGAGAGTCCAGTGATAATAATGAAGATGATGATAAAGATAATTATGATTGTTGCAATAACGATAATTATAACACTATCGATGAGAATCCTAGTAACCATTATGCAAAACCAGCAAACAATGTCCTTGACTTTAAAACATATCCATTCACATCCTTGAAGAAATTGATTGAAAGGGGTTTTTTAGCTAATTTACACAAAAACAATAACAATTTTTATAATAAAAATGGTGATGATAACGAATTCAAAGATGTTTATGACTATAAAGAAGAGTATGTGTTGAAAGCTAGTGGACATTTCAACTCAGTACCATTATCATTAACATCGTCATCATTATCAAAAGGGTTATCATCCTCAAAGTCTTTAACACCTTTATCACCGACATCACTGCTTTCGTCATCATCTCTGATAATGACGCCAACACAACAATTCCACACTACTTCACTCATTCACTCACTTTCACCATCTTATTGTTCAAGGTCATTTTCGTCATCGTCACCAAAAAGTTCACTTTCTGCGCCAAAAGCAACTGACACCACGGTATTAACCACACCAATAACAACAACAATTTTGAATAATAAACCAGTCGTCGGTCTTTCAAAATTGTTAACTTCGTCAAATAATTTCTCGCTACGAAAGCCAAAATTGTTCATAAGTAAATCAAATTTCAAAAAGGACTCAGTAAGAACATCAGGACTCGAAATTTCATCTGGTGTAACACCTATTCTATCTACAAAAACGACGATGACGGCAACAATACCAGCAGCTTCAAATGTGCAGATATCAACTTTAACATCATCAGCACCAACATTGTTCAAATTTACGACAACTAAACTAATGCAACCAACTACTTTATCAACTAAAGGATTAATGATATCAACAACCTCAGCAACTAGAACATTGATAACATCAACTACGTCGACTAAACAAATAACAACAACATCGCGTCTATACCTTTCATCAAATCCTTACAATTCATCACTTACCTCTTTAAACACCTCATCCTACGGTACACATTCACTAAATAGCAATCAATTTACATATAGTTTGCAAGAACAACTCGCAACAACAAAGTACCATTTTCCTACTTTCGGCGAACGTTTCTCAGTAGAAAACTCAACAAGGGATACTTTTTACAATTCAGATGACAAATCTAAAATTCTGAGCGCTTCTAACAGAACTAATTCAGCTTACCCCGCTAGTTATTCAAATATTTACAATACCAACAATCCTATTCCAAAAAGTATTATTAATTTTGATGAAGTTACTAAAAATCCTTATGTTCAAATAACGACCACTAAGACGCTTTCTACTGTTGCCGCTACTTCTGTAACTACTGCTTTATTCACTACAGTTTCTACCATTACTACAACTACAACTTCTACTACTACTACTACTGCTGCTGCTACTACTACTACTACTACTACTACTACTACTACTTTTACTACTACTGCTACTACTACTACTACTACTACTAATAATAATAATAATAATAATAATAATAGAAATAATAATAATAATAGTAATAATGGTGATAACGATAATACTGCAGCTGAAGAAAGCGTAGTCGGTTTAGTAAAATTACTGTGCAATAACTCTTCTCAGCATATGATAAAACATGACTTTGGCAGCTTTGACTACCTACCCTACCATACCCTCTCCAATTATAATAAAAAAATTAAACTCTCAATAGCTGGTGATAGCCTTAGAAAAATTACAAATCACAATGCTAATCATAATCATTTTACGGATAATAACGTTTATAATTATAGTTCTAATCGTAATGATAAATATGAAGATGTTGATAATAGCGATGATGTTGGTTTGGACGGAGCCAATGAATTTTCTAGAGTTGATAACATACCAAAGAGTGTACAAGTTAGGAATTTGTTTATAAAAATTAAAATATTAAACAACTGATAATTTTAATAAGATCAACTACATTGTTATTAGTTGGTCATAATTTTTTTTAAATTGAAACGAAATTCCATCAACTTTTCTCTATGTCCAAGTTGTTTGACGAAAAAAAAATAACGATTATTGCTTTTCTCATAGCTATCATAATATAGTAAATAGTAATATAGTAAAAAGTAGTAATACTATATATTAAATATAGAACTATATCTCTTATTGTATTGCAACTAGTCGTTTATTTTACTCTATATAGGTACCCATTTTTACTCATGATGTCTTTACTTCTTATTGCTAAGACGATAGTGTCATATAACATAAATCGATCACATCATCATGTAGAGTAAAGCTTTCCAACATCCAACATTCGCAACAATATAGCTTCCTACCTCCTGCAAAGAAACTCTCATGGCCCCCAGCTTCATCAGCGGTTTGTGTGGCAACTACAATGGCTACAACAACGTTTATAACGCTTCGAATCAACGTGGCTATGTTTTTGAAAAAGATGTTTTCAACTATTTGAAGGTGGATTCTTTCGAAATTTTTTGTATTTGTATAAATTTATGAATAGTTTTCGACTTAATGGAATTTATTTTTCTATCAAAACTCGCCAAGTTGAAATCAATTGTGTAGGAACCTAATCTATACTAAACAAATCAATTGCCAAACATGCCTAATGCAATTAAATCAGAAGTTTACAACATTTTTAGCGCAGTAATGGTCACCTAAAACTAAGTTTCATAAGTTCAAGTTGCAACTCGTTGCGCACCTGGACCAGGCGAGCGTAGATACCTCTAGGCCATCAAGTCTTCATTGTGAAGAACAGAAAAATTTTAATTTAATTTACGAATTTAATAATTCAGTTCAAAAAGTTTTGTTATTTAGTCCATTAATTCGGTCACTCATTTCACAAATTATCTAACTCCTGTTATTAATTTTTGGTTTCAATCAACAAAAATTTTATATTTCAATCCACAATTCTGAAAATTTCAACCACTAGTTATAAATTTTAACTCACAAATTTCATATATCAGCTCAATTTTTTCTATAGAGTGCTTTTGAAAATTGAAAACTAAGCAAGAGATTTTTTTTACAAAATTTCAATTCCGTTTAGGTAATCGGGCAGGTAGACAACAAATTTTTGGCTTGTAGCGTCAGTGGCCGCCATGCAATGGAAGGTTTGTTTCTGACTGTATTATCATTGGAATGATCATCTTATGAATGATTTTGTTCAAGATTTATATTTCAGCATATATAGTTTTTTTTTGAAAGTTCCATTGGTAGTTTCTGCTACTAAATGGTTAAATTAGATGATGTCTAAATATTGAAATGATTCTTCGGTTATATATTAAATTCATTCAATATTTCGTTAATTGATGGTAGAAAATGTTTGACCGACTAAAAAACAGGTTTGATCGTTTTGATCGACCAACACGCCGCGGATGAAAGAATTCGACTGGAGAGGTTCATCAGAGGTGATTATGCAATTGATGAAGATGGGTGCGATGAGTTTGAGTTAATGGTGGTGATGGAGGTGATTTGGATGATGAGGAGGAGGGTATCGACTGTGATGATGACGTGATGACCACGAAAAAAGCAATGACGATTATGACGACGACGATGATGACGTCATAATCTATTTACTATAAATTGTCTGCTGTTCATTCACTCTTATTTAGATATAAAATGCTGCCAACATCACCACAACAATGATGACGATCACGGTGATAGTAACGATCACGGTGTTGATAATGATTGTAAGGATGATGATGATGATGATGATGATGATGATGCTGAGGGTGATAATGAGAAAAAGATGATGAAGATTAAAACGTGGCCAATATTTCCATACATGCAAATGGAAGTTGCAGCTGATGTTGCTAATGTTGTTAAATTGAAAAACTCATCTGTCAAACGAATGGGTTGGTAGGATGATGATGATGATGACGATGATGATGGTGAGGATGATGTTCACGATGACGTTGATGATGTTGATGATGACGATGATGATGTTTATGATGTTGATGATGGTGATGTTTATGATGATGTTGATGATGATGATGTTTATGATGATGTTGATGATGTTTATGACGATGAAGATTGTGTTAGTTGTCATGAAGATGATAACTGAACAAAGGTAAAATATTGTGATTATGATGAAAACGATGGTCTATATGATGATGATGATGATGATGATGATGATTCACAATTCTGACTGTGACTGACAACAATGATGAGGATGATGATTGGAATGATGATGAATACTAATGGTGATATTGATGACGATGCCTTACCTTACCCTTACATTCAAACGTTTTGTTTAAATAACAAAGGTTTATATGTCTCGATGTTACAGGACAACAACATCAACAACGACCTCAATGACAACAACAGCAACAACAACAGCAACAACAACAACACTAACAACAACAACAACAACAACAATAATAAAAGTAGTAATACTATGAAAGTAAAAATAACTAACATCCCGTTGTGCTACACTGGCAATCTTCCCAACTTACGTGACGAAATTAAAGTAAGCATGTCAATGGCCTTGCATGGACGAATTTGAGGATATTTTTGTTTGGCTTATCACTCAACTTTTAACAAATTTCACATTAAAAGCAGTGGTTTTATGTCGAATTTTTCTTAATTTTATTGTTGTGTTCGGCTGAAATTGTTTCAAGTTTAAATTTTTATTTACATGTTATTGTAGAGATTTCGTTCATTTTTAGCCTTGCCTCTGAAACCTGTATGCTTCATCTTTATTTTTAAGAGATATTTTTTTTAAAGTTTAATCTTAAATAAATTTTGCATTGCTTTTTATTTTTGTTTTATTTATTATAAAAATTAATTTTTAAATAGTTTTTGTTGTATTGCGAAAAAACTTATTAATTTGATATTTAATCACAATTTTCATGGCAGACTCTGCTGATAGAGATAACACATGTGAGTTATTTATGTGCGTGTTTGTGTGTGTTTATGCGTGTGTGTGTGTGTGTGTGTGTGTGTGTGTGTGTGTGTGTGTGTGTGTTTGATAAAGTATGATTAACTTTATTAGACTTTTGTATTTTTTCTCAAATACCAAATCGTTATATCAATAATATTTAAAATTTTTTGTCCAATCTCAAATTATTAATACAATATGTTGGTTCTGGTCCTTTTCTTTGGAACTCTCTACCTACTTCTCGGACTACTTCTCCATCACTTGCGAAGTTCAGAGCGGATCTCAAGACCCATCTGTTTTCAAAATTCATTGAGGAGCGCTGTTGAACATCGCGGAAATAGTGCTTTATAAGCTAATTGATTGATTGATTGATTGATTGATTGACTGATTGACTGATTGACTGATTGATTGATTGATTGATTGATTGACTGACTGATTGATTGATTGATTGATTGATTGATTGATTGATTGATTGATTGATTGATTGATTGATTGATTGATTGATTGATTGATTGATTGATTGATTGATTGATTGATTGATTGATTGATTTGCTTTATAACAAGGGATACTTAACTGATGTGTTATAATATGTCAACGTGATTCGTTTACTTTTTAATTACATTAATTTATTTACCTAAAAATTTTGTGAGTGATATTCACAATTATTATTTAGCATTTTTCTTTTTTTCCAGTTAATTGCAACCAAAAGATGTTACAACCAAATCCCAAAGACGATATTTAAACGTTTATGTTCATTGGCTTGCCACGGTTAACTTTACAACTTTTCAGCATACTTCATAGATTTGTATTATCTAATTTATTTAAAAACTATAAAAATAGGCGCTATAAAATTTGGAGATCCTCTATCGAAAGACCAAAGACAGCAAATAGTGGATGATTTAACGAAATGTAAACTTCCGTTTCAGTGCGCTCACGGCAGGCCATCCATGATGCCTTTGTGTGATTTGAGACTCCTTGTTAATGAGGTGAGTTCCGATAAGTGTGTGTGTGTGTGTTTGGTTGTTTCATAGTTTCTTGTGCTTGCCATGTTGACTAGGTATGAATAGGCTTTTTGTGTTTGTTGTTTCGTAGCTGTTTTTTTTTTATAGATAGCCGTTTCTATAGTGAATAGTTGTTTTGTATTTCCAGTTATGGCCATAGTTTTTAACACTTAAAATTCTTCCAATTTTCCTTGTTTTTTGAAATTTGTTTTAAATCGATGAAATTTTTTAAAACTTTTAGATAATTTTGACATTAGATAACTATTACTCACTTGAGTTTTTAAAATTTGTATGAAAAATTGCTGGAAAACAAAACATTTGTTTTATTTTATAATCAGTTTTTTCATCACATAAAAAGCAGAACTCCAAGAGATGTGCACACTCAGAAAAAGCAAGCAAAAGATAGTCTGACATGTTTCTCACTAAAATATATTTGTATTATAAACAATCGTTCTGAAATGACCTATATATTAAAGGCGTTGAACATTTTTATCGTTCAAATAATTAAACACAATTTGATCCATATTTTTTTGTTCCTTGCGTTTCTAATAAAGCTAAAAACATTTGAAAAATTTACAAAAATTGTAAAGCAGCGGTACTTTAAAATAGATTTTCTTCAGAGACAACCACGCAATTTAACGTTATACTCACAATCTAATATTACGTAGAAACTAGCTGAGAAAAAATATTCAGTAAATATTTGCAGAGATATTAGTTTTTCAGTACGTTTCAAACTTTTTTAAATTATAAACGGTGAATTTATAATTTAGTTTGAATTGCTTAGAGAAAAATAATAATTTTAGCCTATCAGTTTCTATATTCACAAACCACTAATATTTTCAGCAAATTTGAAATCAATTATTATACTATGACTATTTACTATAAAACTGCAAATCAAATAAATAAATAAAGCAAATTTCGGACTTTTAGGTAAGATACCTATTTAGCTAGGGCATTCATATCGATAATTTCCTTCAAGTGGCCTACCTTGATGTGGTACCAGATGGCTACAGCTGCCAGAACAAAAGCTATGCTTGCCACAACACCCAAACAAACTGCTAATATTATGGCTAGCTTCTTGAAACATTTTGTGTCTTTTTGTTGCTGAACCAATTTTTGTTTGACTGTCGGCACAGCAGTCTCCCAAAATGATCTTTTGTCAAGAAATGGTTTTTCAGATGCAACTATTCCTCTCGGACTAATACTGAGATATTTCTGTTCAGATGCGTCGTACTTGGGCCACTTCGGATAAACACCGTCTATTTTCGCTGGTTCTCTATCGATGTTTAGACAAAATTATTAGTAGAAAAATTTGTTTTCATTCTCTAAATAGTAACTAAACTTGACTGATACCTATCATAAGCAATGGAAACGGTCAAATTAGAAAGTACTCTGCTCCTAAATCTGTCATGACCTTCCCACATGTGTATTTTCCCATCGTGGTATAATTTCCTGTTGTACTGGTGGTCGAAGGCGGGCGCTTCCGGTGTTTTAGGGAATAAATAAGACATGATGAATCCGTGGTACATGTTGACATGGCTGAAAGTGAAATAATAAACATCATGCTGTTCTGATAGGCTATCAGCCAGGTGCAAAGTTGGAAGAGAAATTGCCAAGTCTCCCAGGATCTTTGATTAAATTTTATACAAATAATTGAATTGAAAGTGCTACCCCAACAAAAGTTGAAATTGACAATTCGTAATGAAAAAACTTATATAAACTTAAAATAATCTAAATTTATATGATTTATAATTTTATTATATTTATGTGCCAAATTACTAAGAAACGAATCAAGTCTTATCAATGTACCTGGTTTTTATTCAATGACTCGTTATAGTTGTCCAAATATTTAATCTTGACCAGATCAACAACCCGATCAACAATGACGTCATTATTTCCAAATGCCTCTTCCAAAAAATAATCCATGTTCAACCTCAGCTCTTTATCTCTACCTGAGTATTTTACAGAACTGAAAGTTGTTTTTGAAATACTATTCCTATGTATGGTTTATTATCAAACTATTTTAATTACTGTTTTCTACGCCCGAAATAAATTAGAAAGTCTTGTTTGTGTTATTTAAAATAAATTGATATTTAGACAATTGATACTTCCCTACCGAATTCGTCCTCAAGAGTTCCGATGTAGATAGGCACGTCAATTATTCTTTTGTCCACTAAATCTGGGAAATAAATGTTGTCCTTCTTCGGCAAGAACTCCAGTTTCAACATATTGCCATGGTAGAACTTTCAATAAAAACATGTAAGTTAATAAATCAATTTTGAGTAACTATAATTATTATCTCCTGTTGCCTATTTAATATTTCACGTAACATAACTAAACTTTCGTGAAGGAATAAAATTAAAAAATGACTGACATGCTCTGGTTGGTATTTTTTTAAACAATCTTTCAAACTTTTGTAATTCCATTTTTCGTCAAAGCAATCAAAATTTTCCTTAAGTGTGTTCAGCACTTTAGATTCGTAATCGTATTTTATATCATCTATGTACTCAGTTTTGGACGTGACGGAACCACTTAAAAAGATCCCAGCATGGATGATGCCTGTTTTTTTCAGTATTAAAAGTAGGGTATAAGATTGCAAATGAACAAGTTGTAGTACAATTAAAGAGATTTATGAATTTACATTTTTGAATTTTCAATTTTAAAAAAATTAAATTTCTAATAATCCGTCTAATCTACAGATGTTTATAAAAAATACAAAATATATTTAAATTTAATTAACGTAACAACTGATTAATGAACAGCAGAGCAATGGAAAACAGTATTTATGCTGAATGTGAATAACAAATGAATAATTGAATAAAATAAATTTTCATCTAACCTGAATATTTGGTATCAGTCATAAGTATAGCAGCCTGGACTGCACCACTGCCATGTCCCAGAATGGTGATTTGGTTTTGCCGTCCTCCAAAGTATTCAATGTTGTGGAAAACCCAATCTAAAGCGGCCCGAATATCGTGCAGACCATAATTACCTGGGAATTCCTCGTCATTCAATGCCAGAAAACCTTAATTTGTGGCATGTCTTGTTTGTTGTTAAGATAGAAATGACAAAGTTCTTATTATACATCAGCCGAACATTCAAACATTTTTAATTAAGATTAATTTCTGTGGCAATGAAAAACAGTTTGTGTTCTGTCAAAAAAGGTCTAAACATTAGGATCATAGCTTAGTTAAATTAAACAAAAGTTAACCAAATAGAGAACCCTCCGGAATAAAAAAGAATTTGAAAATGTAAAAACACATTTTTAAACTTATTCACTTGTTTCTAATTTGCTAATCAATAAAAAATTTCCTAACCTAATGGTCCCATCCTATACCCCACAGTGACGACAACCAACTTTGCTCTGCTCAAAGAACATCCGTTATTCAGGTCAACTACAAACTTCGTGTGGCTGACTCCAGGAATCACAAACACCACGGGGTATTTCTCACGGATTTCTAAGTTTTGATTACCGTCTCTCTAGAAAAAAAATGATGAAAGTTAGGTAAATAGTTTTTTGATTAAAACTTAACTGGCAATAATAATTTTGTTAAAAAGTGATTATTTAAATTAAAATCTAGAATAATTTCTAAATAAATTAAATAATTTTTTGTGACATATAATTATGAATAAAGAATTTAATTAAATTTTAAACAAATTGCAATAAAAAGTCATTTCATGTAAGCAGTCTAACATTTAACGGTGCAAAAATATTCAAGTACAGGCAGTCCTCAAACTGTCTTGAAACGTTTACTGAGGTTTGGAAGCACGCTTGCTTGCTTTCCTCTGTGGCTCTCGTGTCCATGATCTTTTCCAGAGGCCTCGTTTTCTACATTTGGAAAAATATTTATCGGAGAGTTATTAGTCTCAAATAATTTACCAAAAGTCTAAAAGTCATAGACATCTAATTATTATCCAAACGTGCGATGGTATGTTTCTTTAATGAATTAGAAAAAAACTAATACATACAAAATTTGCAGCGTGAAAACAAACAAAACTTACTTGAATTAAATTTAAATGAGAAAAAGCTATCATAACACAAAGTGTTATATATAATAAAAATATTTCTCCTGTACCCACTTCAAACCTGTCACTCGGTTGCCAAGGCTCAGCGTATGGCACGCCAATGAAGGACATACAATGGACTGGCACGTCAGCTATTTATGATCATTTGTTATTCAATAATACTTAGATAGATGGCGTATATCGTTTATTTAGTTGTTTCTAATGATGATGATGATGATGATGATGATGATGATAATAATATAAACATTTATGAAGCGCCCATTCGCACAGCTGCTTCAGAGACGCCCGGAGCCCGTGTTAAAAAGATGAGTCTTTAATCGCTTTTTGAAAAGACTCAACGAGGAACATTGTCTTAACTCAGGAGGTAACGCATTCCAGACATACGGAGCAGCGTGACGAAAACCGCGGCCAGCCAGGCGGGATCCGGCAACGGGAATGTTTAGGAAACCTGTTGAGCTGCTGCGTAGTGATCTAGTATGTTCATGTCTGGATATGAGGTCGTATAGATATGTTGGGGATTTTCATAAAAGGGTTTTGAAGGTAAGGACTGCAATTTTGAAGATGATTCGAGCGGAAATTGGAAGCCTTGGAAAGAGAATGGAAGAACTAAAACGAGGAGGTTTATTAAATATCAGTCTAGCAGTTTTATTTTGGATAGTCTGTAGTTTTCTGACAGATGCACGTGAGGCCCCATACAAAAAGGAGTTGCAGTAATCTAATCTAGAAAGGATCAAACATCTGCAAAGGGCAGCTGCAACATCACATGTAATCATATGTCTAATATGTCTTATTGCGCAGAGGTGATAATTGCAAGATCTGACGATTTCTGATATGTATTTATCAAAATTTAGATGTCTGTCAAAAGTGACCCCAAGCAACTTGATCGCATCCGAGATGGGCAATGTGGACTCTGCTATGTCCATTTCCTCGAGCTGAAACCTCGACAGTTGTTGATGTGTCCCAATGACCATAATTTCAGATTTGTTAGGGTCGAGAAGAAGGAAATTATTAGCATACCACCGATAGACCTCGCTAGTACAATTGCTTAAGACTCGAAGATTATGATGATGATGATGATGATGATGATGATGATGATGATGATGATGATGATGATGATGATGATGTTTGTCTTGTTGGGAACTATGATTACATCAAAATATAAATAGAATTTTTCTCAGCAGATAATGAAAAAGCACAGATGTACATCGTTTTATATTTCAGCCAAAAAATCTAATTTCCCAAACAGTGTGTGTGTTTGTGTGTGTGTGTAGTGTGTGTGTTAATTGTTGATTCATTTGAATATTTTTTAATTTATTTAATACACAATTGTAAAAAAAAAGTGCGTTTAAATAAAATAATTATTAATAAGAAATATTTTTTGAATAGATTAAAAATTCGACAGCTTAATGATTGAAAACCAAACATATAAATGCACAAAGAGGAACTAGCTATAAAGACCAAATCAAAAGCCATAATAGAATGGCATGTTGTGTAGAATCTTGGCGGGTTTAACATTAAGACCTTGAAAGGCACACAATAATGAAAATGATATAATTCTAAGAATTCTTATGAATAATTTATCAAAAATTTATAATTTATCATCCTCAGACTCCTACAAACACGCACACACTTCACAATCACAAACACACACCACACAAACACACACAAACATACACACCTCACAAACACATACACACCTCACAAACACATACAATGAAGTTTATCTAGTGTTAAGTCAACATTTAGGTATACACACTTAGTAAGCATTGATACATCAGAGCGTCATTTCACATTTTTAAGAGGTATAACACATTACACCTCACACAACTATAATTTACGACTAGCCGTGTCGAATTTGTGATAACGACTAAAATTAGTAATAGAAAAAACGTCATATCGCCCGAAGTTGAACAAAAAACGAATCAACAAAGTAGAGAAACAGTACATACGTACACTTGAGTATTTGGCCACATACACAAAGTATCAATTCGAATACCGATGTGGGTTTAGGAATACCAAAAAAAAAATCCTTTTTGTTCTATCATGCTTAAATGTTCTATCGTGCTAATTATAAATGAAAATTTTCGTTTTAAACTCAAGAAACTTGACGATCTGCCGTTAGAAAAATTTAAAAAATAAATAGGATGTTAACTAACGCGGAACATGCTGTAAATTTCATTAATAATTAATTAATAATTAATTTCTGACAGTTCTAATCCTATATAAATATATAATAAAAAATAAAGTTTATATAAAAATACGCACAAACACGGATACAGATACTCGCAAACTCAGAAAAAACAATGCATTCGATCCCAGTTAATTCAACCTAAAGAGCAGGCACCTTAACCATTACACCATCACACTGCCTGGGCAATCAATATAGGAGGTTTATTAGAATGATTATTAGTTTATTTATTTGTGTATGAAGTTTTTGCAGAACATAAATTAACGAAACCTACTTAAATACTGTGTAGGTATAAAGGTTGAGTCTTTACCAGTAAAGTATGCATCTCTCACTCGTACTGTGACTTCAGCATTACAATTACATATTACTGCAATGGCTAAAAGTAGAATTGATGTCTTCTTCATCGTCGTCGTCGTTGTT